GAATGCACAGAAAGGGAGCAGCATTTTCTCAAGTATTGTATTTTTACAAAGTACACAAAACTACTTTAATATTCTAAATTGTATGATGCAAAGTTTTGCATTTGTGGTATTTCCAGAAATAAAACAACTATAATTAAGGTTGCACATGAATACATTTGTTCATGCGATGAATCTAATTTAAGCACATGAGATGTTTACAAATTTCAGCCACAGCTCCAGTCGCCGCCATCATCCCCCAACTGCTTCATCATTTTAAAAGGGAGTAAAGGCCACTTGAAGATAATATGATGTCTGTGTAACAAAAAATGTGTTTTCCATTGCAGTTTTGTGGAGTATAACAATTTTAGTATGACTGAAAAACCTTTTCATTGAAACATATGAGCTTTTCACAGTGAATTTAGCAAATTTATTTTCATAATTACAATTTGTGCAATTTAATGGCTAATGGAAACACACCTACTGTTGCTTTAATTTATCAGTCAGTGCAGGCAAATGTTTAGCAAAAAATACAAATTTTACCCATGTTCTGAAAAGACGGTCAAGAGCAGTAGCACCCATATCTGCATGCCCCACCGCCACATCCACACAGCATGTACACTAGGTGGTGAGCAGTTGTGTGTTAAATAAATCAGACTTACTTAGACTTTTGAAATATGTCATTTTGTACACACAGACTGTATACAAAAATAAATTTAATTCAGTACAGCACTCCAGAAATTTCCATTTTTAAAGTCCAGCAGTGATAAAATGTAAACATGGAGATTAAATGTAAACATAAGACTGGTATATGGTTTCCAACATTCAGCACTTTTTGTTTCTTTTTTTTTTAAATCCCATTTTATACAACATTCAGCAGTCTAATGGCAGAGAGGAAGAAGCTGTTTTGGAATCTGCTGGACCTGCATTGGATGCTGCCTCTTCCCAGAGGGCAGCAGGGAGAAGAGTCCATGGTGGGGGTGTGAGGGGTCATTTGTAATGCTAGGGGCCCGGGACACATAGCGTTGGGATGAAATATCTTTAATGGATGGAAGAGGAGCCCCCGGGATCTTATCTGCAGTTCTCAGTACTCTTCTCGCCTTCCTTCAGTCTGAGTCGCTGCAGCCTCCACACCACACAGTGAGACAGCTGGTCTGAACGCTCTCTATGGTGCTTTTGTAGAAGGTGCTGAGGATGGGTGATGGCAGGTGGGCTCTCCTCATCCTTCTCAGGAAGTACATGCACTTTTGTGCCCTCTTGACCAAGGAAGTTATGTTATCAGTCCAGGTGACGGTGTCTGCTATGTGCACCACAAGAAATTTGGTGCTGTTGACCACCTCTTCTGCTAAGCAGTTGATGAGCAGTGGAGCGTGGTTAGGCCGGTTCTTCCTGAAGTCAACATGATCTCCTTGGTCTTCTCCACATTCAGGATCAGGCTTTTGTCTCTGCACCACCAGCTGCTCCACCTCCTCTCTGTAGTCCTGGTCGTTGTCGTCTGTGATGAAGCCCACCACCATGGTGTCGTCTGCAAACTTCACAGTGTGATCGTGGTGAATTTGGGGACGCAGTCATGTGTCATCAGAGTGAACAGCAGGGGGCTCAGGACGCAGCCCTGAGGGGAGCCTGTGCTTAGGGTGATGACTGACTGAGGTCTTTTTGATAGGACGTCTAGCAGCCAATTGCAGAGGGGTGTATTGAAGCTTAGCTTTTCTAGTTTCTCTATCAGATGCATTGGGATGATGGTGTTGAAAGCTGAACTGAAGTCCAGGAAGAGCATCCGCACGTGGGTGTTCTTCTCCTCCAAGTGTGCCAGGCTCAGGCGTCCTCAGTGGTGCAGTTCTGTCGGTAGGCGTACTGGAGCGGGATAGAATGTCAATAATCTTAGAGAGAAAACAATAAAGAATTAGAGAATTAAGGGCCAGTGATTTAAAATGGGATTGCAAGAGAAAACTTGATTTAGCAATGTTGTACAGTATATTTGCTTGCAATAATTAATAATAATTGAACGTTATTGATCTCACATTTGAGAAATGCCCTTGGGGAGCAGCAGGGCTGCCATCGTGGGGCACCCTGGGAGCATTGTGGGGGTTAATGGTCTTGCTTAATGGTCTTGAGACCCAGAGTGGCTGTCTGTGGGAGTAGGACTTGAACTCAAAACCTCTGGACTCCAAGCTCTATGCCGTAATAAATAGGCCACCACTCCCTACATGCTACTCCTTAATATATTATTACTCATGTTCTATCCTTCAAAGTGTCTTTAGCAATTTTCAGAATAAATGCCTGGCATGGTTTGGTTTTAAATCTACACAGTGGTTTAGGTGTGGCCCCATTACATTCAAATTATACAATATAACATGTGAAATCCTGCTAATTTGTGAGCCGAATTTATTTACTTTAACTGCTGATGACTCTATTAATTACTGTTATTAAAGTAATTTTTGTTTGCTTGTTGCAACTTTTCAAATAGAGAGTAATATATAAAGGTCATTTTGTTTTTGATGGTGTTTTCTGAGATTTTACTTATTTATTCACAAATGATAGTATAGCATTTTAATGAGAGACTAATGAGTATTTACGGTTTGTGTTTTCAGATAATCTTAAAATAATTTATGTTCAAGTATTTAAAGAAACAGATGGGTTTTGAATTATAGAGAATTAATCGTGCAGCACAACAGAATCTAAATTATTTTTATTGTATTTTTTGCGCTTCCCATACTAAGTAATCGTCATGTCTTTCTTTTAAAAAATATAGGCATTAGAAATAAGAATATCATTAAAATGCTTTTTTTCTCATTCTTCATTAAATTTTGAGAGGAATGTATGACCAGGTTTAAATAGAGCTTTGGTAATGCAGACCACTGCTAATAGCAACAGAAAGGAACTGATGGTGGAGGACAGAGCTCTTATTGTAAGCTCGAAAAACAAAGAATCTCAGAAAACCACAATCTAACAAACCTTGTGGTGCAAAAAACTCTAAAAGAGAGAATTGATCTACAGCCTGCGTTTGTCTGAACAAACAGCACAGCTTTCAATGGTGCAGCGACACCTAGAGGGAACCGAAGTGACTGCATGGAAAGCTTTTCAGCTGTATGTGTGTGTTAAATTTGGAGGGCTGGATTCCAGACATGTAGTACATTTAAAATGTCACAGTAAGCAATGATTTTCTGCCAGCCCCACTGAGACACCAGCTTTCAAACAAATATGTTTAAATCTGACTTGTTTGAGTGGTGATTAATCTCCTCATTAACTTCCCATGAAATAATTACACTGTAATTATTCCAGTAGTTAGCTTAAGCTGTGAGGGCTGAAAGCTGTGAGGCTTGATTTGTGTTTGAATTTCTATCACTTAGGTTACATTTAAGGTATAAAAATGTTAAAAATATGTTAACTTCCCAGTATGGTTTTGGGAAACCTTGCCTACATTTGCCATTTATCAGCATATTTCATACCTGAAGTTTTCTAAAACATAACATTTCCTGACTGACCAAAGGAAATGAGAAAAATGTCCCTTAGCTTTTTAAACTCCCCAATAAATTCATCCACTGAACCCTGCGGCTCTAACAGGTAGCTCCTGCTAAAGAGCAGATTTCCTGCACCCATCTTTCACCTCCTCATCTTTCTCCTCGTCTTTCTTTATCTCCAGTCCATCCCCCTCTGGGTCAAGCATATATCATCTGATCTTTTTCCACTCTAATGTTGATGCAGTAAAGGCCGAACGAAAACCTATAAAAGCTTTATGTCTTCAGTGCCCTGCGGTAACTTAGAGCCATCTCCGATCCCCCCTACCCTTTCCTGAAAGGAGCTAATTTGCAATGTCACCAGAAAAGAAAAGACCTGAAAACAAAAGAGATATTTTTGTATTTATTGATGTATTACTGTCACCAAAAACTCATTAATTATTGACTTTCTGTGATTGGAAAATAAAATATTATGAGAATAAGTCATCAGACAGGGAGGACTGCCTCCAGAAATATGCTTGTAATGGAATAACCTCAAGGTACACTCAGTAGACTGCCCTGAAAGGGCCTAAATGGATATGTACGTATGCTATAAGGAGCTTTCTTTAATGTTACCCAAGTCAAAGCTTGTCGGGATAAACAGCCTTGTGAAAATCAAGGTTCTCAGAAGACATTTTTCCCCTTTGTTGTGTCTGGAACAAGTAAGGCTACATTAGATTAACCTTAGTGCAGCTTTGCTGCTCTAACTACTGCTGGTCTGCAGAGGGATGTAAAACAGAAGCACCATTTAGATGAAAAAGTTCAGAATCAAAAGTGTAAGAGCCCACCTTATTCATGCATCAAGTGTTTATGATAAATAAGACAAATACAGTAGTATGCATAGATATTCACAGGACTTTTTTTTCCCCAAATTCTTTCTTAGATTTTCATTCAGACGTCATTACTCAAAACTGAGGTCTTCTGTACACCTAAACCAACATCTGCATTTTGATTGACATCACTGGGACACAAAGTTTCTGTTGTCAGAGCTCTAAGTTTCGGGCTGACAACATCCCCCTTGTCACAGAAGTGAGACAAAAAGAGCACAAACATGACAGGAAATCACTTCAAGCATGTGGTTATTCAAAATGGGCATTTCTTGAGTTGGCTAAAAAAAACTAACAGGAAGAAACACTGCATCAAACAAAGAAGAGAAAATGGAGATATGCAGAAAAGACAGTTATTCCATGTGTCAAGAATGGCTGAAACTGAAGGATTTTCTCTAAACATAACAGGTCTATGAGCTTTAATTCAAGCAACATACTTAGACAAAACCTAGATCACCCCAAAAACGAAGCACCCTAAACAAAGCTGAGCACTGTTTTTCATTGCAGTCCCATGGAACAAAAAGTAATTGGGCTCCTACATTATAAAACAAAACAACAAAGCCAATCACACAATTCTATGGCACAGGAGAACCAGCGACTCTGGGTAAAATTCAGCTGTAAACCTAGACTTTATAAACGAAGGTGTAACCAAGTAGAGAAAACGACTTTTCTCTTCCTACTATTTTAGAATTTTAATTTGAAAAAAGCTTTTATTTTGAAAGGAGGAAATGTCATTTTCACTCCGTCGCTTTACTTCCTGTTTTCACGAACACGTTGCGGTCTTTTTGCACTCTTGAACACGAGCTAGAGAGGCTGTGTGACTAGGTCTCTTGCGGTGCTCATGCTGAAACCTCATCCTGGTGAGTTTTCTGCAAGATAATGGTTGTAAACAAATGTTAGCTCTGTTCAAATACTAATTGGAGATGTTAATTGTGTTAAGTGGAAAGGAATACGAGCTAGAGAGGCTGTGTGACTAGGTCCCTTGCGGTGCTCGTGCTGAAACCTCAACTTGGTGAGTTAAAACCCTAAATGTGCCATATTTGGATTAGCTTATGCTAATGCTAATCGCGGGTGAAATGTTATTGTTTAAAAGTACTAGAAATGCTAATTCTGGTTAATTTGTGGTTTCATCAAGTGAAATTTGAGTTCTCAATACTTTTATGAAGCATTTTGTGTTTATTTTCTACCGTTTCTTGGTTAATTTCACTGTTTATTTCATGTTAAATGCACATTTTTATTACTTATTTTGTCATAGTTTATAGAAATCCTACGTAATGCTGAGAAAACATTACTGCATTTCATGTCATGATTAACAAAACCTGAAAGATGAGTTAGAAATCAATCATTTAATTGGTTTAAGATGATTTATCATAATTTTATAGTTAATCTAAAAAAAAAGAAAACAAACAGATAAAAGGAGAAATTCATTTAATTGTTTTCTGTGAGTTAAAAGTTATTTAAAGCTGCAGTCTGTAACATTGAGAAGAGAGCAGACTTTGACTGAAAATTTGAAGAAAAACAGGTTTCACGTCACTCCCCCACCCTCTCTGCTTCACTCATGCCCCACCTCCAAGCCCCACCCCTCTCACAGCACCTGCGCGGCTACTGCATGCGACCACAAGCGTCCAAGCAGCGTACGCGGCATGGAGTGTGAACCGGTAAGAGCGATAACACTCACCTCCAAGCAGCTAGATATAACATGCTGGTTATACCGAAGTTTGCCATGTAAGCAGTTGTCGGCAGGGGCAGTAAGGGCAGTTTCTCTTTCTCTGGTGGCTGTCGCTCCACCATGACTTCCACGCGCGTGCTCCTGACTGGTAAAGTGGTGGGGGGGGGGGGCTGTGATTGACACTCCATCAGACGCTCCTCTGGCTGTGATTGGTTGTTTTGACTCGTCCCGAATTATTCTTTCCAGATTGAAATACAGGCAGTATGCAGGACCAATTGAAGCAGTTTTTTTTCACAGGTTACATATCACATGTACTGCTGTCTGGGCATAGGGACAGTTTTAGCCAATATGAAAAAAAAGTGATTTTTAAAAACTTACAGACTTCAGCTTTAATGTTAAACATAAAAGTTTTCATGTAAAACAAAGAGATACTGTGATTAAGGAAAACATGCATGTAAAATGTTATTGTTTATTTCTAAATGATAATATGGGAAAAAGAAGATAAAAACTTAAGCTATAGCTGTGTGAGAGAAGAAATATTTAGCTGCATACAATAATACCATAATTGTTGTGCAGGCTAGGTATTTTCTGATGATTAAGAAAGCTGCGAATTGGATTCCTGGATACCTGATGTTCTCCGGAAGGGGATGGCGAGCCTGTACCCAGAACTGAACCGAACTCTCATCTGAAGATCCCTCTTCTGAAGATCCTCATCCTCACGTGTTAACAAAGTGGTAACAACTCACACCGACGGAGAGGAAAAGAACTAAACTATAAAAGGCCTTGACTGACTAAAAAAAAAAAAACAAACACTGAGCTCAGGGACTGGGGTTTTGTTTTGTTTTCTGTTGCCGGCTTATTGTTATTGAAATTGTAAATGTTCTATATTTTTTCTATTTTGCTTATCAATACAATTATTATTGTTGCGCATCTCCTGTCTCCAGCTATTTCATTCTGCACTCACTTCAGTTTCATTGTACTCCTGCCGAACCTATTGACTGGTCCACATGTTTGCATTCCCATAACCTACTTAACGTTATTCAGGGGTTACAATAAATTTTGGCGAGCCAGCCAGGAGATCCTTTATTTTTTTCTCTGAAGTTATCTCAGCCTTTGATATACTGAACATGGAAATTGTGGAGCGTGAATCGATTAAAGTACCGAATGCGGTGATTGTGAGTGAAATCGCTGGAGATGAACAGATTAATGAGGTGACTGAATTCTTGAAACAATATGGGTCAGTTTCCAGAGTTTTAACAATCACTGATCGTGACTCTGATCTTTTCCAAAGTGTTATTGTTGAGTACAACTATGGTACTGCTGTTGATGCTCTTGAACCATTACCTTGCACTCATGTGTCTGACAGTGGAGCTAGCTATAAGATACAACTCTTGCTAGTGCTTACACACAGTTTATTGGAAATGATAAAACCAAGACATATCTCACTGATATTAAATACCTAGCCAAGATGTGTGGCAGGGATTTTGCCGACGTCCTGAAAGACATGATGTCACAAATATCTGAGTCAATTGTTGAACCCGAAAATGACCAATTAGAGCCAATAAACTTGCCTGAGAACCCCCCTCAGTCTTCCTCTTGCAACCCTGAGACACCAGCCATTACTCATGCATGGAGCCAGTTAAACCAAGCTCAAGCAGTGCCCATTATGTCTGCACATGATTTAAACCCTCCAGAAGTGCAGCGTGTGGTCGTTGAGCACATTGTGAAAAGAGAAGATCCTGGGCAGTTTTCACGACAACTCAGAGTGTTTTCTGGCAAAGACCCTCGACCAGCTTATGAGCCAGACTACGATACTTGGCACTCCAGTGTTGAGTTGGTCATGGCTGATCCTTCCATGTCCAAGCTGCAACAATCACGAAAGATCATTGAGTCTCTCTTACCTCCTGCAGCTGATGTTGTCAAGCACTTGAATACCAACAGCTCACCTTCAGAATACCTTTAGCTTTTAGATTCTGCTTATGGGACAGTTCAGGATGGTGGAGAGCTTTATGCCAAGTTCATTGACACTTTCCAAAACACAGGTGAGAAAGCGTCATCATACTTACAGCGTCTTCAAGTAACTTTAACCCACACTGTAAAACGTGGTGGTGCTTTAAGCAACGATTTTGACAGGCTTCTTATCACACAGTTTTGTCGAGGTTGTTGGGATGATTCCCTTTTAACTGCTCTCCAGTTGAAACAAAAAAGGACAAATCCCCCAACTTTCCCTGATTTGCTTCTTTCGTTACGCACTGAGGAAGATCAAAATGCAGCAAAAAACATACGCATGAGACAACATTTGGGCAGCACGAAACAAAAAGCAACTTCACATCTGCAAACTGTGAAATGCGGCTCAAAGAAAACTGAAGACGATACCACCTTAAGCTCAATTAAAGAACTTTCAAGACAAGTTGCAGAATTACAAAGTCAACTAGTGAAACTAACTGCAAAACCAAAAGCTCCAAACTCAAAAGGTGCATCCAGTAAAAAGCCAAAAGAGACAAGAAGGCCGGATAAAGTGACCACAGAAGAAACAGTCATAACTCAAAGTACACCACCCAAACCGTGGTACTGCTTTCAATGTGGAGAGGATGGCCACATCAAGCCAAATTGTGAGAACGAACCAAATGCAGCTTTAGTTTCAGAAAGCGCAAGCTTTTCAAAGAGAAACAAAAGAAATGGGAAGCTGAGAACCCCTCAGCTGCTGAACAGTTAAACTACAGCCAGTCTCTATTGCGGGGCAAATGGGGACTGTAGCCATTCGAACATGTCCCACTAGGAACAAGCAACGAGCTAACCTTAAGCAGTCTGTTGCTAAGCCTCAAAGCTACAGACTTCCTAAAGGGCTAATTGGCTCTAAGTGCACTGCTGTAGTTGGCATTTCTGGGATTAATGTGAACTGTCTTCTTGACTCTGGGTCACAAGTGACTACTGTGACAGAGTCATTCTACAAACAGAACTTTCCTGAACAATAATTAAACCCGCTCTATGACCTATTAGAAGTAGAGGGTGCAGCAGGTCAACCTGTCCCTTATTTAGGTTATATAGAGATGTGTGTTACCTTTCCAAAAGATTTTTTAGATACTGAGATTGACATACAAACCTTAGCTCTCGTTGTTCCAGACGCTCATCCAAACACGCAGACACCTGTGTTGGTAAGAACAAATACACTTGATGTTCTGTATGAAAAGTACTTAGGCATCAAGACCTCTGAGTTCTTACCTAGTCCTTACGGGTTTAGAGCGCTTTTGAAAACTCTTGAACTAAGACATACACAGAACCGAGATGGGAACATTGGATTAGTTACCTTGGCAGACAAGGCCACAGCTATTATTCCAGCAGGCCAGACTGTAGTTTTAGAGGGTTCTGCTAACGTTAACTGCACATCCACAGACACCTTTGCCTTGGTTGAACATCCTGCTCAGTCTTCCTTACCAGGTGGGCTTTGTGTTAAAACATGCTTGGTAACACTCCCTTTTGGATCTCTACACAAAGTGCCTGTAATGATTTCAAATGAAACAGAACAAGATATCACAATTACATCCACATGTGTCATCGCAGAACTTGGAGCCTTTCATTGTATCCTGTCCCAGCACAATGTAACCAGTGCAAACGAGTCTACCACAAACAAGGCGACACTGAGTTTCGACTTTGGTGATTCACCTGTTCCACAGGAGTGGAAGGAGAGAATAACACAGAAACTCAATGACCTTCCAGAAGTGTTTGCTTTTCATGATCTTGACTTTGGGTGTACAAGCAAGGTGAAGCATTCTATCAAACTTGATGATCCGACTCCTTTCAAGCACCGTGCACGCCCTATACACCCTCAAGATATTGAGGCAGTGCGTAAACACCTTCAAGAGCTGCTTGCTGCTGGTGTGATAAGAGAGTCCCAGTCACCCTACTCATCATCTATCGTTGTGGTGAGAAAACGAAACAATAGTGTGCGTCTATGCATAGACTTTCGCAAACTTAATTTGCAAACAAGAAAAGACTCTTACGCTCTCCCAAATCTAGAAGAGATGTTTTCAGCTCTATCAGGATCCAAGTGGTTTACAGTCCTCGATCTTAAGTCTGGGTATTACCAGATTGAGGTGGAGGAAGAAGACAAAGAGAAGACCGCCTTTGTGACTCCACTAGGATTTTGGGAGTTCAACCGCATGCCGCAGGGCATAACCAACGCCCCAAGCACTTTCCAGCGGCTGATGGAGCGTTGTGTTGGCGATATGAACTTGCATGAGGTATTAGTCTTCCTAGACGACCTCATAATCTTTTCGGACAGTTTAGAAGAACACGAACAACGACTCATGCGGGTGCTCCACCGTCTTAAAGAGTATGGCCTGAAGTTATCGCCGGAAAAATGTAAGTTTTTCCAAACAACAGTCCGGTACCTTGGTCACGTGATCTCTGAGAACGGTGTGGAGACAGATCCCGAAAAGATTCAGGCCCTAAAGACCTGGCCACGACCAAAAAACCTCAAAGAACTGAGATCCTTTTTAGGGTTCTCAGGGTACTACAGACGCTTCATAAAAGGATACTCTTCTATTGTACGCCCACTGAATGACCTCACACGTGGTTACCCGCCACTCCGAAAAAAGTCAAAATCTAAAGAAACCGACCAAACTTACTTCGATCCCAAACTGCCTTTTGAGAGCAGATGGACCACAGACTGCCAAAAAGCCTTTGATTCCATCATCGAAAAGCTAACTTCAGCCCCTGTCTTAGGCTTTGCAGACCCAAAACTGCCTTACGTACTCCACACTGATGCCAGTACCACTGGCTTAGGTGCAGCACTATATCAGGAGCAGGAGGGTCAGCTCAGGGCAATAGCTTTTGCCAGTCGTGGGCTATCGAGAGCTGAAGCACGCTATCCAGCTCACAAATTGGAGTTTTTAGCCCTCAAATGGTCAGTGAGTGAAAAGTTTCATGACTATTTGTATGGTGGGCAGTTCACGGTAGTTACAGATAGTAACCCGCTCACATACATATTGACTTCTGCTAAATTAGATGCCACGAGTTACAGGTGGCTTGCGGCTTTGTCTAACTACAACTTTAAGTTACAGTACAGAGCGGGCAAACAAAACCTAGACGCTGATGGGTTGTCTAGACGTCCCCATGGTGAACTTGTGAATGATGCCCAGTCCAGAAAAGAGCAGGAGCGCGTGAGCCGGTTTGTGGAGAGTCACTTGGCTGACGTTAACACCACAGAGCATATAGACAGCAATGTTGTCCAACCGATTTGTCAGTCACAAATAGTGAAAGTCAGGGATGAGAGTCAGGATAGTGGTATTACACTTGTAGAGTCACTTACCGTCTTGGCTGATGCAATTCCAGACATCTAAGTTTCAGAGGAACACAACAGCTTGCCAACTATTCCTGCTTTGTCCCAGTCAGAATTGAGGGAGAAACAAAGAGCAGACTCAACAATCCAGCAAGTTATTGAACAACTGGAAAATGGTCAGAGACCTCCACCGTCTGCTAGAAAGGAACTCCCAGAACTTCCCCTTTTGCTTAGGGAACTTAACCGGTTGGAGATTCACAATGAAGTGTTGTACAGAAAAAGACAGGAAGGAGGCAACATTACCCACCAGCTCGTTCTTCCAGAGGAGCTCAGAGCCCCCGTGCTTCAAAGTTTGCATGATGGTATGGGCCACTTAGGTATAGACAGAACCCTTGACCTGGTCCGAACATGTTTTTACTGGCCACGGATGGCAACAGACGTTAAGCAAAAAGTAAAAACTTGTGACCGTTGCATACGCCGAAAGACTCCTCCTGAGAAAGCAGCTAGCCTTGTCAACATAGCCACTAATCGCCCCTTAGAGCTAGTCTGCATGGACTTTCTCAGTTTGGAACCAGACAGCAGTAATACTAGCAACATCCTAGTAATGACCGATCATTTTACTAAATTTGCCCTGGCATTTCCCACTCCTAATCAAAAGTCAAAAACTGTCGCCAAGTGCCTGTGGGACCAATTCATCGTCCACTATGGCATACCTGAGCGTCTGCACAGTGATCAGGGTCCTGAGTTTGAGGCAAAACTAATAAAAGACCTCTGCGAAATATCTGGCATAAAGAAAATCAGAACCACCCCTTACCACCCTCGGGGTAACCCCACCGAAAAATTTAATCGAACACTACTGAGCATGTTGGGAACGCTGGAATCCAAGCAGAAGTCCCACTGGAAGGACTACGTTATGCCTTTAGTGCACGCGTACAACTGTACATGCAATGATGTCAGGGTTTTGCCCTTACGAGTTAATGTTTAGGAGAAAACCTAGACTGGCAGTTGATCTAGCGTTCGGACTTCCTCTGAACAAAGATCAG